TTCCTCATCTCCGATTTCCAGGGGATATTTTTGCTCCCTAAAATTAAGAGTCCCAGTGCTTGAGATCACATAGGACAGGGATTGGGGATTGCAATGCCCTTTTGACTGCTAAAGGCACCAAGGCCCAGAGAGTTTTGCTGTCAACATCCCAAGGTTAGAATCTGGCAGAGTAGCTTAATGGAAGGAGAGTCGGCTTGGGAGTCAGGCAGTTCTGAGCTCAATTTTTCGCTCTTCTCTAAGCCTGAAACACCCCCTGGGTCTGGAGCAGGCTGGCAAACTATCGTCCACGAGCTCAATCTGGCCCATGGGCTGTTGTGTGCAGCCTGCCCGCTAAAAATGGGCTTTATATTTTTAAATAGTTGGAAAAAATCAAAAGAGAAATATTTTGTGACACGTGTAAATTATGTAAAATTCAAATTTCAGTGTCCATAACGATTTATTGGAACATAGCCATGCTCATTTATTTATATATCGCTTATGGCTGTTTTCACACTACAGAAAAAGGGTTGAGCAGTTACAACAGAGACTGTCTGGACTGCAAGGCCTAAAAGATTTCCTGGTTCTTTACAGAAAGTGTGGCAATCCCTGGTCTAGAGCAGTAGATTCACAAACTTTAGCTACATAGAAATCACCGACTTTAGTAAAGTATCACAAGAATGGAATAGCAAGTATCCAATGTACTCAATCCTAACAGGAAGCCAGTAGACCATCTAATACACACCCACATAGGGAAAAAACTCAATTCAATTCAAACTGGGGGGAGGGAAGGAAGGGGAGAGGAAGAGGTGTGCTCTCACCCAATGGACACAATGTAAGGGTATACGGCTCGCCTCCTGGCTGTGGGACACAACTACAACAGGGAATTTACCTAACAAATGTAAACATTGTAACCTAATTGTTTGTGTCCTCATACTAATCTGAAATAAAAAATAAATAAAAATGTAAATTCACCTGCTTGCTAAAACACAGATTGCTGGGCCCTGCCCTGGGTTTTCTGATTCTGCTGCTCCGGGATGAGGCCAGAAAATTTGCATTTTTAACAAGTTTCTGGGTGATGACGGTGCTGATGCTGGGGCCACATTTTAAAGACATGGGTTTAGAGCAGAGGTTCTCAACCTGGGGGTCACGACCCCTTTTTAACAATGAAAATACATTGCGGCATTAGGAAGGTGGAGAATCACTGGTTTAGGGGAACCTGGGTCTTCAAAGCTCACCCTCAGCCCCACCCTGGAAGTTCCCAGCCCACCCAGAGAGTGGGAAGGACTGTGGGTGAAGAGAGAGAGGAGGAAGGAGTTCCACGTCACTGCCTGTCCCTCTTGCAGGCCACCCTTCTCCTAGTATCTGCTCCCCCCTGGTGGTGGTGAGCCTGGGGCAAGCCCAGCATGTTCAGATTTTATTCCTATCCTTCTGTTTGGAAACATATTTCAAAGTCTTTGAAGTTTGCACATCCTCTCACCTACAGAGTCCACGTCTAGGAATTGAGACCAAGAAAAGAATTAAGGATCCGAACCCAGACATCACTGCTGTATCTCGAATCTGATTCAAGAGCCAGGGCCCTCAAGTGCCACATGAAACATTGACCCTAGAATGGAATCGTCTGGCATCAATCCTTGTTCTAATATTTACTAATTATGTAACGCTGGGCAAGTCACTTGACTGCCCTGTGTCTCAGTGTTCCCATCTGTAAAAGATTCTGGCTCACACCTGTAATTCCAGCACTCTGGGAGACCAAGGCAGGTGGATTGCTTGAGCTCAGGAGTTAGAGACCAGCCTGAGCAAGAATGAGACCCCATCTCTACTAAAAATAGAAAAACTAGCCAGGTGTAGTGGCGCACACCTTCAGTCCCAGCTACTTGGGAGGCTGAGGCAAGAGGATTGCTCAAGCCCAAGAGTTTGAGGTTGCTGTGAGCTATGATGCCATAGGACTCTACCCAGGGCAACAGAGTGAGACTGTCTCAAAAAGAGTGGGGAACATAATTGCAAAGGTTGCATGGTTACCATGAAGTACTGAGAAGTGTACTGTGGGAGCTGTTGTTACTGTTATTTATCAAGCCTCTGGCTTCCTTCTTCTTTCCCCCTACCCTCTTTTCCTCTCTTGACTGGCTTGAAGAACTGTGAGCCACTGTGGGATGTGCTGGCCGGGTTCACCCGGGCTGAAGGTGGAGAAGCCAGGACTTAACAGTGTGGTTGGCAAATGGCAGACATCCAGTGGGGCCTGCCCATGCTGGAGTCCAGGCAATAATGCATAGATCTTCAGCACACAGATTAAACAGACCCGGGTCTAAATCCTGGATCCTCTGTGTGACAATCACAAGTACCACCCCCTCCCTGAGTCTCAATATTCTTAACTATAGAATGAGAACAAGAAGATTAGGGTAGTGGCTCTTAACATGTGGTCTCCAAAGAGCTGTAGATGAGTCTGTCCAATGGGAACTATTAGGAAATGCAAATTCAAACAAGCCCTCCTGGTGATTGAGTTTGAGAACCACTGAATTGGAATATCTACTTCAAGGGCTTGCCATGATCACTAACGGAGAGCCAGGACCAGCTCTTGCTGTTACAGGCCTTACTCCTCCTTGGCCTCAGCTGAGTGGGCCAGGAGTATCCTTCTTCTAAGCGGGTCCAGTCACATTCCCTTTCCTGGAGTTAGAATTGGAGATGTTAGGCTTTGCATCATCTCCATGAAGGAGAAGGCTAACTTAGGTTCTGGGTGTCATTTGGGGGTGTCTTCTTGCTTTCACAGTTGAGAGGGCCATTCTGCAGAGAGGCACAGAGAAGGAGGGGTCAGAGGAAAAGAGCCACACCGCAGGTGTACTGTTTAGACATAGAAATGTCTGTTGCACTGTAATGGGTGTGGCTGGACACATAGGGCCCTGGATGTCTGGCAGCTGGAAGCTTATGGGAGGGCACAAAAAAGGGCACTTTTAGAGTGTCCTCATGGAGGTTCTGGTGGAGAACAAGAAGAAGGGTCTGGGTTTATGGGTCAAAGGTCGGAGGAATGTTGGTCCTGCAGGAGAGCCAGGAGGTCGGATGGCAGCTCCTGAGACAAGCAGGCAGAAGCGTGGAGCTCTGACTTCTTGACCAAGGCCAGCTCTGCCTGGGTCCATGTAACAAGACCGGGTGCTCTGTGCATGTTCAACACCACCAGCCAGATCTGCTCCAGGGGTCAGGATTAGCCCAGCGTAGATGGACCCAACTACAGAAGCTTGAGAACATGGACTCCTGAGGTCTGAGGGGTTTAGGTGAGAGACCAGGGGACTGCAAAGTCGGGGTGGGGGTGGAGAGCAGGGGAACTACAGAAGGGATTCTGCAGGTGTGCCTGGGAAGAAGGCAGTATGTCCACAGGTTTAACAGGAGCTTTGAGACAAACAGAAGCTGGCTTCTGTCAGCTGTGTGACCCTGTGCAAAGTACTTGCCCTCTCTGAGTCTTAGTTTGCTTATCTGTAAAATGAAAATAATATTAGGTATCACCTCGTGGTTGTGTTGAGGATTAAATGAGCTAATGCACATAAAGCACCAGATGCACAGTAATCAATCATGTGCGATGGTTATTATTATAGCTATTATTACTAGACTCCAAGGCCAGGCAGAAAGAGTTGAGCAGCAGAAAGGAGACCTGGAAAGAAAAGATTCCAGGTCTCAGCTGGAGAGTCTGAGGTCGGAGCAGGTCACCAAAGCCAGGCCTGAGGCCTAGGAGATGGGCCTGAAGCTGTGACCAATGAATGGAGTCCTGAGAGATGGGCCAGCCAAACAGGAGGCTGGACTGGGGCTGTGGCCCTATGAGACAGGCCAGAATGCATAATCCCTCCTACCTCAAGTCAGGATTGGTTGACGGTCTTGATGGGGTGGGGCTAGTGGGAGAGGCCAAGGAGGGCAGGTGCAGGACCTGGGACTCCAGACTGTCCTGGTCCTGGGGTCTCAACCAATCAAGTGGTGATCTTTATTGAGTGGGCCCTGTGCATCTTGGGCTCTGTGGGGGTTCAGAGACTAGCAGGGTAGGTTGCTCCCAGCCTAGCTGTCTGTGGGGATAGGGTGGGCATGCACAAGAAGCTAGCTGCGGGCTGTATATGCTCAGACCTAAACAAGTGAGAAATGGAGAGGAGGTCAGAGGACTGACAGCTGGAACCGTCCAGTTTTAGGAAGGAGGTGTGGCTTGAATGAGGTTTTAAAAGATGGTTAGATAAGTAGAGTAGAAGGTTCAGGTGGGGAACAGTGAGGAAAAGGGCACTGAGATGGGAAAATCCCAGTGGAACGAGGCTGAATGGCCAGGCTTACTGGCTGTCTGGGCAGTGGGGAGCCACGAAGGTTTTGTGCAGGGGAGTGACGTTTGTTCTAATAGATAACTGAGATGACCGAGCTTGTGCTAGGTTGGGAAGATACTGGGCTTGTGGGGAGAATTGAAAGGGGGAAGTTTCCTGTTCCAAGGTCAGTTGAGGCTGTGGAGTAGGGTCCCTTGATCCCCTATGGGGGTAACATGAAGGCGCAAGCACAAAGCCCCTTCAAAGGATGGCCTAGACATGTTGCCCTAAAAGAGGTCTAAGGTCATTGAGGTGCAAACCTGCCCTTGAATCCTAGCTCTGCTGTGGGATGTGAACAATCCCTTCATCCCTCTGACCCTCAGTTTCCTCCTCTGTAAACTGGGCACAACACCCAGGAAGAGTGTGAGGACAAATGAGAGAACAAGGAAGGGGTCTGGCCCACTGGTTGGAGCACAGCAGGTGTTCCCACCCTCACCCCCTGACCCCTGGGTGGCTGGCATGGAGCAGGTCACAGACAGAATCTGGCCTTCCAGTCACTTCCAACTACACAGAGTTTCTGCTTTCAGAAGTCATTCATTCATTCATTGTTATTCATTCATTCAACCAGCATTTCTGAGCGTGGTGCTTACTATGTGCCAGGTGTTAGGACACAGAGCTGAATTAGACTGTCCCTTGGCCTTGAAAAATTTATTGACTCATTCATTCAGCAACATTCACAGAGCTCTACTGTGTGCTTTGGCTGGGCAGGGGGTGGTGTTTGGGGCAAAGTGAGTGTTGCTGGCTAGGGGGACAAGGTGGGTGTGACTCAGCCCCCCAGGTCATGCCTCCACATCTGGGAAGAGCAAGAACCCCGAGAAGATGCTGTTGGCACCCTCGATTCCCAGCAGAGAGTTCCTGTCAGTGGCCTGCAGGAACACACTCTCTCCCTGTTCCAGCTTGAGGACCACACCACCTGTGGTGACCTGGAAGGTATTATAGGCGTAGTCGCAGAAGGTGACAACCTTCTGCTGGCGCTCCCGGCCCCGCACGAGGTTCACGCACAGGTTCCCTCGAGAGCTGGCGTGGTAGGTGAAGTAGTAGAGACCGGGCACCTTGCAGGAGAACTTGCCACTGCGAGGCTCGTAGTTGTTGTTCACGTTGGTGACCACGCTGTCGAAGCGGATGGCCTGGTCCCGTCGCAGGGGAGTATTGATGGTTCTTAAGGCAGAGAAGGCGACTTTCTGGGTGGCCTTGTAATCTCCTGATTCACCCTTAGGGCCAGGGGCTCCAGGGAGCCCTGGGGCACCTTTAGGGCCAGCAGGGCCCTTGGGGCCGACTTTTCCTGGATTCCCAGGAAGCCCTGGATCCCCCTTCTCTCCAAACTCACCGTGGTCTCCAGGTAAACCTGGAAGCCCTGGGGGAGGAGAGACAAGAAGAATGAGAACACCAGAGGTCACTGGGACCAAAGGAAGGAGTCCTGGACAGGACCTTGGGCAGAGCCTGAGCCTCCCATCTACAAGACAGAGAGTGCCAGAGAGGGGCTCCGTGTCAAGTCCAGGATGTGCTTGACAGTAATGGGGAGAGATGCCCACGGGAGGGGACAGCCCCTTCTCCCGGCTCAGCCAGGCGTCCTTGGTCAGGCTAGAGCAGGGCCACTGAGCACAGCTCCCCCTCTGCGCCCTCTCCCTGACAGACATCCTTAATCAATCACAGCATTTGTTCTTGCTGAACCTGGCAGTAGACTTTAGACTCCTCACTCCACCACACCAAGCACCTGCTGCCCCTGGATTTGGTATGGCAGAGGATAAAACCTATTTTGCAGTAAAGTACCAGAGTATAGATCCTGAGATCATGGGATTTAGGGATAGACAGATGTACTTCTCAGGTCACATCTGCCATTATGACTTGTATCCCCTTGACTGAGTCGCATTCTCTGAGGCTTCCTCATCTGTAAAATGGGGTGGGTGATATTTTGTGGGATTTTAACGATCAAATGAGATTATGTAAGGAGAGCGGCTGGCGCAGAGTTGCTCTGTAACTGTTCGGTGAAATGAACAGCTAAACGACGTTTAACAGCATTTGTCACGATGAGGAGTTTCATTTGAACTCCACAACAACTTCACACAAGCATCGTTGTCCCATTTTGCAGGTGAGGAAATGGCAATTCAGAGAGCTGAAGCTACTTATTCTGGAGGTAAATTCAAACCCAGGACTGTGTGACCACGGCGGTGCTCTCTCTCCACCTGCATTTAAGGGTCAGAGATCATGGTCTGGTCTCAGCCTCAGCACTTACTGGTTACCTTGGGTAAGTCTCCCATCTGTATAATAGGACTCACAATTCTCTCCAGGCAAAGTTACTTCAAGGGCTGAGCAAGCTGATGGATATGCATATGCTTTGGCAACCTTGAGGTGGGGCAGGAGATGGGGTCAGTGATACTAGTATGTCCCCAAAGCCCACGATACCTTTCTCTCCTTTTGTCCCTGGGGTCCCAGGTTGGCCATCAGAGCCAGGTGCACCAGGGATGCCTGGAATACCAGGGATGGCCGCGGGCCCAGAGCAGCTGCTCTGGGCCCTGGAGACATCAGACTGCCCCAAGAGCATCAGAGGCAGCAGTGCCAGGATGCCACCTGACAGGGTCTTCATCACCACACTGTGTCAGCTGCCCCCTGTGGGGAGAGGGCAATGTGGGCAGTTACCATCATGGTGACTGATGTCATCCCTCTATCTCTCCTCCCATCCTCCTCTCCCCCATCCCCTCCCTCTATCCTACCATCCCTCCATCCGGCTCTCCATCTCGCTCCCTTTCCCTTTGTTCTTTCATCCATCCCTCTATCCTTCCCTCCCTCCATTCCTTCCTCCCCCCTTCCTCCATCCCTCAATCCCTTCAACTCTCTCACTCCCTTGTTCCTTCCCTCTTTTCATTTCTCCAGCCCTCCCTCCCTCCATCTGTCCATCCCTCCATCATCCTGTTCCTTCATCTCTCTCTCCTTCCCTCACTCCCTCTCTCCTTCATTCTCCCATCCCTCCCTCCATCCTCCATTCATCCACGCGTTCACTACTCATCGCTCTTCTCCAGACCCTCGTACAAGGGGCTGGGGCTTCAGGGATGAATAAGACAGATATAGGGCCCTGCCTTCATGGTCCTGTGTCCCAAGTGGCAAAACAGATGATAAACAGGTCAACATACAAGCAAGTAGAAAAGGTGTAGACTGTGAGTGAAGCTCAGAAAGAAAGGGAAGGACACCAGAGGGAGAGTAACTGGGCTGGAAGTGGGAAGTGGCTGGTTTGGGGCGGGAAGTCCTCCTGAAGGTTCAGAAAGGGCTGGGTTGGGGTAAGAGCTTTCCAGGGGAAGTTGAGGAGTGGACAGAGGGGAGTTAGGGGCCAAGGTGACAAGAAATAAGGCGGGAGAGGCAGGTGGGGGTTGCTGCAAGGTTTGGGTTTTAGTCCAAGTGTTGTGTTCTTGGCCATTAGAGCCTCTGAATTCAGGCTGCTGGTGCTGCTTATACAGTGGGTCCCTTTGCATCCTTGGAGCATCCCTGTAAGGCAGCAGCTTTGGTTTCTACACCAAAGAGGACACTGGAACTCAGGGAGGTCAAGTCACTTGCTCAGGGTCACACAGGAAGGAGTGAAGCCAGTACGTTGGCTGGAGATTCTCAGTCTCCTCCAAGAGCTGTAGCTCCGGCCAAAGGGCAATCCTGGCCCCTTCTCAATCCCGGTGAGCAGCATGGCCAGCATCCCATGGTATTAATTCTCAGGACTGAAGGGGCCTTAAAATTCATCTAGTCCAACTCTTGCTATTTGTATTCGTATTTTATTTTATTTTTTGAGCCAGAGTCTCACTATGTCACCCTCGGTAGAGTGCTGTGGCGTCACAGCTCACAGCAACCTCAAACTCAAGAGAACCTCCAAGAGATTCTCTAGTCTCAGCCTCCCAAGCAGCTGGGACTACAGGCACCTGTCACAATGCCCGGCTGTTTTTTTTGTTGTTGTTGCAGTTGTCATTGTTGTTTAGCTGGCCCAGGCTGGATTCAAACCCACCAGCCTGGGTGTATGTGGCTGGCGCCGTAACCACTGTGCTATGGGCGCCAAGCCATTGTTTTGTATTTTAAATTGAGACAGCATTCACGTAACATAAAACTGACCATTTTAATAACATTTAATATATTCATGGTGTTGTGTTACCACCACATCTATCTAGTTCCAAAACCTTTTCCTCACCACAAAATAAAACTCTATATGCATTAAGCAGTTTCTCCTCAATCTCCTTCCCTCGGCCCCTGACAACCACAAATTTGTCTCTCTCCCCGGATCTGCCTATTCTGTATATTTCATATAAAAGGCATCATGACCTTTTGTGTCTGACCTACTTAGCATAATGTCGTCAAGGTTTATCCATGTTGTAGAATGTATCGGTAAATCATCATTACTTTTTATGGCTGAATAATATGTCATGGTATGGATATATGTGATATTGCAAAACATACATTTGATCTTCACCCAGTTTCCTGGCACACAACTCCTAAAATCCTTAGAGTCGCCAAAGCGACATCTTCTTTGATGCTAACTAGTAGACTGGGGGCTGGCAGCCCTAGGCAGCTTCAGGATGAGGGCTGGTCACTGGAATGACCAAGGCAAGATTCGAGGGATGTGACTTTGAACCCCATTCCTAACCTCTGGGGAGGGGAGAGGGCCTGAGGGTTAAGTTGATCACCAGGGGCCAATGATTTGATCAGTCGTGGGTATGTAATGAAGTCTCCATAAAACCCTCCAAAGAACTGGATTTGGAGCGATTTTAAGAACATGTGGAGGGTTCTGGTCACTCCCTGCCCCTTCTCCTACACGTGGCCCTGTGTAGCTCCTCATCTGTGTCCTTTGTGATACCTTTATAGAAACCAGTAAACGTGTCTCCTGAGTGCTGAGAGGTGCTTTTGCATATTAATCAAACTCCAAGTGCAGGTCATGAGAAACCCCAGCTTGAAGTCAGTTGATCTGAGGTTCAGGGGGCCTTGAAGGTGGGGGGGTCGTGTGAGACTGGGCCCTCCCCCCGTAGGATCTGATACTACCTCCAGGTAGATGGTGTCAGAACTTAATTGGAGGACACCCAGCTGGTGTCAGTGGTAGAATCCGTTGCATGCTTGTTGGTGGGGAAACGCCCCCTGCCACCCATGTTTGGTCATAGTAGATTTCTGTTTGATCATTGTGGTGTGAGAACAGGGGCAAATATAATTTGTGTTTTTCCATTCACAGAAAGTCCCACGATTTCATCTATTCATCTATTGGTGGGCACTTGGGAAGTTTCCACCTTTTCGCTTTTGTGAATAGCATTGCTGTGATCATTCGTGTGTAGAGATTTGAGTACCTGGCTTTCATTCTTCTATGTACATGCCTTGGAGTGGAATTACCAGTCTGACGGTATTTCTGTGTTTAAGTTTGTCAGAGCCCTTCAGCCTAGTCTTAAGTCTCCCTGGTAACCTCTCTGCCGAGGGCTCCTCCACCACAATCTGCATTGTTTTTAATGAGGAGCAGCCCGTTACCTATCCAGGCAGCCCAGGCCTCCTTTGCCCAGGCCTGGATTGTTTCCTCCCTTCAAGGATTAGGGTAGAAGCCTTTTCCTCCAGGCTCTTGTTTATACTTGTTGCTGCAGTTTGGGGATCCTCCAGACACCCTGGGCCAGCGAGTTGTGAGGAACTTACTATCTTGCAGATGAGTTTCAAAAATTAGAACCTACCCAAAGCCAGCCAGTGAGTTAATGGCGGAGCTGTGGCCAAACCCCTGCCCTCTCCGCCTCCGGCTGGCTGTACTGACCTCAAGTCTGGCATGAGGAGGGCTCCCTGGGACCGTAAAAACCTGCTAATATTTGGCTCGTGTGCTCTGAACGTCAGCTTTGGCCTCAGCCAAGTCCCGGCCAATTCATCACTTAGATCCCCCGAGTTAAGCTTAAAGCCCAGACCTTGTGCTGGGCACCAAGGAAAAGATGCCAGAAAGATGAGTGTGACCTGGGTCTCCTGGTGACTGGTTTAGGTTCTGTCATTTGAAGAGAGGGTGGCCCAGGACATGACCCTGCTTATCTTTGAATAAGCATCAGTCCTCATTCTTTCTGAAGGGTTTTCCAAAATGACAATTTGACAGCTTTAGTAAGTTGGGCCCTTAGAGGCCAGGCTCTGGGCCACGTGCCACTGTCTCATCAAATTTGATTCTTATGACAGCCCCTTGAGAAAGCACTCTTAGTCTCTCATTTTACAGAGAAAGAAAATGGGGAGCAGAGAGGGCAGGAACCTCAAGAAAGGTCACACAGCTCCTGTGTAGCTAGGAGTCAAACCCACACCCCTTGGTATTGTGAATAGTGGGGCTATAAAACTCAGTGTAATGTTAAGAGGCCACTGTACCTGGTGGTTATGATGTGGGCTTGGGGCGCAGCCTGTAAAAGGACCACAGCATGGGGTACATTAAGTACAGTGGCGAAGGTGGCTCTATCATCATCGTTATGGTTGCTCTTGGCAACAGACATTGGCTTGGTAGTGGAGGCCTGTAGTGTCACAAGCAAAACAGTGCCAGGGGTCAAATTAGGCCTCTACCACTTCTTAGCTAGGGAACTTGGGAAACTCACGCCTCTCTCTGGCCACAATTTACCTTTCTATAAACTGGGACTAATGCTAACCTCTCCCTCACAGGGCTGGTGTGGGAGCAGATGAGTTGTGGCATACAAAAGAGCCTGCCATGTTGGAAATGCTTAATAGATATTAGCTATTTTATTAGTATTACCACCATCTAAGAATTCCTGAATCTTTAGACAGGAGGGAAGATGGTTGAGAAGTGAGAAAAGATTCAGCCCCTTTGGGAAATTGGGCTCAGGGAGAGGTTCTTTCAGCTCCAGGTGGCCTGAGCTGGAGAGCTCTAGGCTGGGGGAAGGAGAGGGGTAGGATCAGGTACAGATGGGACTTGAGCTTCTGGGGGACGTGGGAGCTGGGGAGAGGGAGAGGGAGAGGGAGAGGGGAGATCTCAGTTCTAGCCCATTTCAGGGGTCACTGAGTCTCAAACTTGGAGTAAGACGTAAAACTCATCTGGTCCAACACCCGCTGCCTCTGATACCCACCGTCTCAGTCAGCTTGTTTCTCACATCTTCCACCCCAATCTCCGACCTTTCCATCTCCTTGCAGCCCCTGCAGACCCTTTTCTCCCAGCCTGAAGTCAGGCCAGGAAACTTGGCCTTGAAATCCCCCCTCTTTCACCGCTTTTTGGCTGAGTGACCTTAGGTAAGTGTGTTAACCTCTCTGAACCTCTTGGCACTGTTTTTTTCTGGCTGACAGGACTGTGGAAGGATTCGGGAGGTGGCACTCCTCAGAAGGAGTAAAGTCCCCATTCCCCCGCTATACAAAAGTCACTCAGTGCTTACTATAACCAATCACAACTCCACCTGCACACCAAATTATTTCCTTAAAAGAGTCCAGTTGGAAGCGGAGCTTTCTCAACACACTGCGAGGAAGTAAGAGAAGCCAGGAGTCGGGGAAGCGCTGGGTTGGGCAGAGGGGGTCTGGGTTCTCATCCTGGCCCTGCCTCTACTTTGCTGGTACATTTTGAGCCAGGAAATGCACTAACTGCTCAGTGAGCTCGATCTCCTGCAGGAGCCTCAGCACTCCTGAAAGGTTCTGTTGTCCCCAGAGGAATCTTAGGCTGAGAGAGGTCGGGTGACTTGCCCAAGATGACCGGCACTGAGGGGCAGAAGCTGGACTCAGCTCAGCGCCATGTGCCCAAAGCCCTTGTGCTCCGCTCAGGCTCCCATTTTAGGCTGCCTGCCTATCCCCTGGGCCCTGAGGAGCAGCAGCCCCCTCCCCAGCTCCCCCCAAGACAGCCTGATCCCACAGTTCTGAGCTGTCAGACACCCCAGCTGGCTCCAAGGCAGGGGATGCGAGGTTGTGAGACCTACACTTAGGGACGTACCACCCTCCTTCCTGTTGACCCTGCTGGCCAGTCTCCCAGGTGCCAAACCCCATCCTCACCTGGGGAGCCTCGTCCTCTGATGCTGCGGGGCCACCAGCAATAGGAGCAGGAACCAGGGGCCTGCTGCCCTCCGTCCAAAGCGGAAGTTCTCTTTTCCAGAGGTGGGAAGGACTTTCCCCCTACAGACCCCTCCCTATAACCCCCCCCCCCCCCCCCCCCCCCCCCCCCTCCCCCCCCCCCCCCCCGCTGCCCTCAGGCAGTTTCAGGTCCCATTTCTGCAGCCCAGAGGGGTTTACTGTAAACAGGAGGGTGAGTTTGGTTTCGCAGACTCAGCAGCTGTGGGGTGGACAGGCTGTCCTGGAAGACCGTCCACAGCTGGCAGCTTGCCCAACCAAGGCCCTCTGACCTCATGGTCCTCTCTAAGGGGGAGGGGTGTTCTCAGGGACACCGTGCCGGCCTGGTGCCTGGCCTGAGTGCTGGGTTAGGGTCAGAGACCTCGATTCCTATTCCAGCTCTGCTACTTCCCAGCTCAATGCTTTCAGCCAGGGGAACCCAAGGGAGCCCCGATTTCCTCTGCTATATGATGGGACCATGATTATTCCTGCCTGCTGTACAGATCTCACCAGCCACTGGGAGGAGAACGAGTGGGATGATGGAAGAGAAAGAGTGTGTTTGGGGGGAGGGTACACTGTAAAGTGCTGTGCACATGTTAATTGTTCCTGTCAATTCGGGTCCTAGGCTTCCCCTTCCTGGGCTCATGTCTTCTGCTTCCTCCCCCTCCTATGGCCTTGCTCTTTCCGACCTCTTAGAAAATAATCTAATAATGAATTTTAAATGTGCTCGTTATTTATTTATACCCCTCCCTCTGCTTTCAGCAGGGCTTGAGGCCGAGGACAGTAATAGACAGAGGCAGGAGCCTGTTGCTGCTTGTGGGTCCTGGAATCACACCAAGTTAGGGCTGGACAGGCCAAGTGACCTCAGCCCATCCCCCTCATTTTATATATGGGGAAAGCAAGGCCCAGAGGGGCGAGTCGTTATTTCACTAATAACTGTGGTCAGCCTCTATGTGCAAGGCACTGGAGAGAGAGCCCTAAACCAATCAGCTTGGTCCCCATCCCTGTGGAGCTTCCCTTCAACTGGGCAACACTGGTGTTAAACACTGAATGGGACAAAGGCTTCGTTGCACCTGTGATGAATGTCACAGGAAAGAAGTCACCACTGGAGCCCAGCTTGTGCAAGTGGCCAATGCAGGACTCACAGCTGGG